AATCGGTATATAGGATATTTACTGTAGTTAGGTATTATAATAATCCTTACCTATGTTTACATAGGTCTTTTTGTTATTTTATACCAATCGGACTATTCATTGCATTTAGAATTCCATCGTCATGGAAAACGGAAGTGCGTTGGTCCTTCCATTCCATGATGGTCATACGATAACTGCCAACGAAGGTACTCAGTAGGATTACTGGCTGTTGTTTTTATTTGCATTTTCATTTCACCCTTTATGAGGATCATAGTAGGATCCGCTTGTTCCCCTTTTTGATGGGATGAGGTTTTTGAAGTTATATTTTTCATTATTATGTGTAGAAATAACAATGAAATTATTTCTGCACATTTATACTGTCAAGTCTTTTTCGGGTTGGTGAAGCTGTCACTGTCAAGCGTGAACTCGTACCATCAACGAATTTAATAAATTAAATTGCGATGTTTTTTTTATAGGATTTATGTATTTTTTTTCTAATTGTTTCTAATTTATTTTGCATGCACATGTAAAATAAAGCCGATTTTATTTTATTTATTTTTTAAGAGCATTTGCTATGGAAATATAAATAAAGTCAGAAATAATAATGAGAAACCAATCTTTTGATTTTCCTGCAGGTTCAATCCAACTTTCTTTTATTTTGAACTCATTGGAAAAATTTTAAAATTAAACACACGTTTGACCTACGAGTACAATGGAATTTAAACATCTAAATTATCTAAAACAATAATACATGCACATTTTTCTTCAGGCAACAGCAACATACAAATTGACATGAAATTGAAACAGCTGTCCGAAATATGAGTTGTGTTAAAATTACTCGAAATAAATGGTTTAGTAATAATAATAATAAAATAAAAGAAATCAATTTAACGTAAATACTTTTCGCTTCGACATTTTAGGGACTTTAATTTCAAAAGTAATAGTAAGAAAATCAAATATTTCAGTAAAAACTAATTGTCGATAAATGTCAAACATCGTAAATGAACATCACTATGTTTGAGTCTAGAAATTTCTATGGAGACAAATAGAAAACATTGAAAAAGTAATAGAAATAGTAACTAAACTTGCAAATAGCCGTGGTGTGTTATCCCACTGGTTGTAAAATTTTTGTTTTCTCTCCAATTTTTACAAGGTATATCGCTACAACTTGGCATTTTCAGTGTTACGAGAGATCTTGTATTACAACGATCGCCATGTTACTGTAGCGATGCTTGTAAGCGTGTCACCTCGATATATGCATTTTTACCATATCGCGGCGACACGAACCACGCCCTCATAACGAATCTCCCCTTTTTTCCTATATCTATGATCGTCACTATATTATATTAACCTTGTTTTTTAAATACTCGTACTAACGTACTATGGATATTTTTAATGGTCCGAAATAAATAATAATTATTATTATAAATAACTACATAATACTTCTATGAGAACACAACAACCGCTTTGTCAGTCACTTGAAAGAAGTTATTAGTCATAATAGTTTTTATATTCTTAACGCTGTTACAGAAAAGATCTATGCGACGGTCGTCATTGAGTTGTTAATTTTCGTTCTTAATGATCGTGGTAGGTCATTATGATTCATTATAAAATTAGTACGGTTAAATAGAGAATCAAGCAAGTTACTCTTACGAAACTTCTTAACTGCAACTTAGATATATATAGCTTATCTATTCCAATGTTCTGTAATAACGTATTTGTAAAATATACAAATTTCCACAGTAATTAATAATTTACAATGTAACTTGATATTGAGTTAGATTATACGCAATGATAATTAAGCTACAAACAATTTTAAGCGATGGTGTGCCACGAGTTCTTCACTAAATGAAGACATTAATTATTTACATACTTGAATAAAGTAGCTGATTTCGGGTTACATTTTTTTTAAACACATTAAACTTGTGGTTTAAAGTGAATGGATACATTTTTAAGTGGCGACTTCCTCACTTAGCAAAGGAAACGATAAATAAACAGCCTATCGTATGGACTTTTAGTGTCTGTGGCAATTTTATTGTACTCCAGGGAGTGGCGGAAGTAAAAACTTTCGTAAATTACAGCTACTAAATTTGGGTGAGAGTTTCAAGAAAACGTAACACTCCGTTTTGGCCTTCTTGTTGTCGGTTAAATAGGTTTAAAAAATCTACTCTGTAAGTGTCTTAGAAAACGACTATGGAATATGGTTAACTAACCAGCAGCGTTTTTTGTGTATGACCTTACGACCTGACGATCCTGACGTCCTGGGCAGCCCAGCGGTAAGCATTGTACGCGCAAGTTGAGAAATACCTTGGTTCGTTTATCATAGGACTAATTTGGAAAAAACTTATATTTTGTTTTAATATTTTATTTAGTTTCAGTTTTATTGTTAAACAAAATCTGCGTAATTGACATTTCTCAAAGAAAAAGAAATTGAGGTACCAATATCTCGCATAGTTACTGAAATGCAAATGCGTTAGTTTTGACAAGGAGGCCAGTTTGGTTCTCGTAATAAAAGGGAATTAATTTTTATGATGCAGTTCTCTTAGTAATGCTCACATTACTGTCTTACGGTTTTAAAGGTAAGGGTGCTAGTGAAATTACAGGCACATGGGACTTGTCAACTTATGTCTCAAGGTGACATGCGCAGCGGCAGTATCTCTCTGATCTTTGCGATTTAAAGCTTTCAGTAGCACTGCAATGGCTTTGGACAGGCGTGTCAACACCAGGTGCATGACATGTTCGTCCTGTCGCTTGGTATCATAAAAAAATCTTTAAATAATTTCAATTCAATAATACAGATACCGTTTTACAACTAGTCGTATTCCATCGCGAACTAAAAGGTTTGGTTACCTTACTCTGTCGCACAGTTGAGAAATGGACCTCCCTTCCAGTGCACGTATTCCCTCCGTTTTACGATATGGGGTCCTTCAAACGAGGCGTAAAGAGCCATCTTGTAGGCATGCAGGGTGGAGGTGGCTAGGGCAGTGACTATATCGCCATTGCACTAGGTTCGTTCACGTTTGGATTCCATTTTCCAATTTACAACAGGTGGAACGGAGTCAATTGCCTGTAATGTATAAAAAAAGCTTTAAATTAATATTATTATAATCAATTCGCATGTCTAGTCGGGCGATTATACTTTTATGTTATAATATTCCAACTTCTTTGAAGAATTCTAGCAGTAGTAGACTGTAATGTTCACTCGGCATGTAAACATACATAGGGGTTCCAATCTTTAACAAAAAAGTCATATTGACTATTAAAACGACAATTGACATATTGGTAGCGATGGCGCCTATGAGCAATAAAACTTGTATTGAAAAAAATATATATTTGTTTCGATCTTAAGTGTGTCTCAAGTGTTAGCGCTAAGAGAGGAAGTTGTTGATAGAATAAATGTGACACAACTTGTAATATCCATTTGGAGGAGCAATTAATCTTTTTATGTATATCATCTCGTAAACAAGTTGTCTTGAGAATAAAATAATAAATTTGTCATTTTTAGTACATATTTATCATATTACTTTTTACTTAAACCAGTGAATCGGTAATGAAACTTTTTCGGATTTAAATCGCGTGTATGCAAGCATGGGAGCTGTAAATGGCTCCAAAACCAACGGGTTTGTTTAAAACAAGACAAATATACGTAATGAAGATTCGAAAAAAATGTCTAATTTCCAATTCTCACACACAAAAATTGGGAATAATATAAAAACTCGATAAAAAGCGAATTTTTAATTTTTGTTTTATAATGTCAAGTGACGGGACAAACAAATCGTGCGCCTGATTGTAAGCTAGACGCCTATCCATAACAGTTGCAGTGCCCTCAGAGTTTTATATCGCAAAGATCTGAGGGCACTGCGCCTGTTACCCTACCGTCTAGTAGGGCTACCCTGTTACACATAAGTTGACAAGTCCCATGTGCCTGTCATTTCACCGTTCAAAAGCAAAACACAGTAATGCTGACATTACTGCTTGGCTGCAGAAATAGGTAAGGTAGTTAGGTAATAGGCAGTAGGTACTACCCTGGACGAACTCTTTCACAAGGAGCTCTACTGCTACTAAAAATATACTAAAATTTGCTTCTTGACTTAAGTATAATGATGAAATAGTCTAAATTACACGTGCAGAATTATTATTTTGAAGATTATTTAAGCAAATAATTCAAAGAAAGCCTTACGATTAATTGCTCTCATCTAATATTTGTTGACCGTTCCTTTCTCGATTTATCTCCAAACTACTAATAATATTGCAAGTTTCTCGAAAGTTATGGACTTTAGTAATATCCTTGATAAATTACCTTTGGGGTTGATAATAATAACATATAAAAGGATCTATTCTACTTATTTAGAGCAATGAAATGATTGAGTATTGAGTATCCTCTGCTCGTTAGCGCAGCCAGTTGAATTTAGTGTAAAAGCTAAGTCTCCGTCTGATCTTCGGTTGCCTTTGATAAATTGTGATCACCCGTCAAAAGTGATCACATGGAAGTCATAAAAATAATACGAACGACATGAAACAAATATGTATTTGTGAAATCGTACAACTGTACTGTTTAAGCATAAAAAAGTTTTCGACAGATTTCTTTAGTAATCCTTAAATTGCGTAACAAGGTGCTTTGGGGTCATAAATCAAATGATCAGATCAATAGATATCATGAATTATGTAATAAGAATTTGAAAGAGGTCCAATATCCAGATTCTTTCAGTACTTGTGATGAAGGTAGGTGCTGTGAACAGGCGCATAAGCAGGTGCTGGATGAGCTTTATAAAAGCATAGTGACAATTTTGTCCCAAGCGTCAGCTGTGGCCAGTGGTGAAACTAAAGTACGTAAAAAGCGGGTGGTTGTCGGGTGGAATAAGCATGTGCGTAGTGCGAATGAACAGGCTCGACTTAAATATCAGACATGGGTTCAATATAACAAACCCAAATCTGGTCAAGTTTGGAATGAAATGCGTGAAGGTCAAAGAATCTTCCGAAGTAGGCTTAAATGGTGTCAGAAAAATGAAGACCAGATCAAAATGGACATTATAGCGGAGCACAGAGCCTCCAAGAACTTCGCCCAGTTTTGGAAAATAACCAATAATCTGAACATTAAGTCGAGTTTGCCTACTGCGGTGTCGGGATGTAGTACCGAGAGGGACATAGCTAACATGTTTATGGAAAAGTTTCAAGTTTCTTCCCCGGTGTCTCAACCACGTGGAGTGCTTGATGCTGGGACTGGGAGTGGTCAGGAGATATTACGTTTTTCTTCTAAGCAGGTGGCTGCAATAATAAGAAAAATGTCAAGAGGTAAATCTCCAGGTCACGACGCTCTCAGCATTGAGCACTTGAAATATGCAGGAGAACATCTTCCCGGAGTGTTGGCTATGTTCTTCTCGCTATGTATGAGACACTCGTATTTGCCGCCGGAAATGCTTAAAACCATAGTAGTACCGATACTGAAAAAATCATTGTCTACTTCATTGTCTGCTGGACAATGAATTAGACAAATATTTAGATCTGCACGACGCTCAGTTTGGGTTTAGGCCTGGGCTTTCCACAGAAAGTGCCATACTGTGTCTTAAGCAGACCGTCCAATATTACACAAAAAGGCAGACGCCGGTGTACGCCTGTTTTCTTGATCTCTCAAAGGCATTTGACCTCGTGGTTTATGATGTTCTTTGGGGTAAGCTCGAGAAAGCGGGCGTACCTCGGAATTTGATAGAAATTTTGAAATGTTGGTACATGAACCAACAAAATAATGTAAGATGGGGAAGAGCTCTCTCGGATGCGTACAGATTGAAGTGCGGTGTAAGGCAGGGTGGTTTGACTTCGCCGAAACTCTTCAATCTGTACGTGAACGAGCTGGTTGTTGGGCTCAGCAGTAAACCAGTCCGGTGTCATGTCGACGGCATATGCGTGAATAACATAAGCTATGCCGACGATATGGTGCTCCTGGGTCCAACGACGGGCGCTATTGCGGAGTTGCTTCGAACTTGTGAACAGTACACAAGTTCTCACGGCCTTGTGTACAACTGTGCCAAGAGCGAGTTTTTGATCTTTGGGGTCCCCGGTAAGGGAATGTCCTACGAACCAAAGATAAGTTTGAACGGGTTGCCCCTGAAAAGGGTAGATAAATTTAAGTATCTAGGACATTACCTGACGGGTGATCTCAAAGATCAAATTGATATTGATCGAGAACGTAGGGCGTTGGCTGCCAGATGTAACATGTTGGCACACAGATTTGCCCGTTGTAGTGAGGAAGCCAAAATTACATTATTCAAGGCTTACTGTCAATCCTTCTACACGGGTGGTCTGTGGGTGAACTATACGCAGAAGGCACTCAGCGCCCTGCGTGTTCAATATAATAACGGTTTCAGAATGCTGATGGGACTACCACGGCATTGTAGCGCATCCTCGATGTTTGCTCTAGCGGGAGTAGATGACTTTTTTGCTGTGATGCGAAACAAAAAGGCGTCACTACTCTCGAGGCTGCGTTCTAGTTCTAACAGCATTCTGAAAATGTTTGCGGCTAAGCTTGATGCGCCGATGCTTCAACATTTTATCCAGGTTCTGGTGAGATCATGAGGTTATCGGCGCCTCGAGCGGTAAGTTGTATATACGTATTCTTGTGTTTGTCAATGTATTGTCCCGTAAATTGTACCTACTAACAATAGTTTTAAGTTTAAATGTTCTGTATCTTTTTGTATTACTAACAAGTGGGCCATAGATGTCCAAATAAATGATTTATTATTATTATTATTATTAAATCTCTCTCCCCAAAAATTGTCATTTTGTAGAAATGCCTTTATTATACCATGTGTGCGAAATAAACATATTATATGTCGTGCAAACACTATCTGTCATTTGAAAACGCTTTCGACGAAACTAGATCATTGAAATTATATTTTTATTATATATTTATATTTTCGGACATTTTCGTCTTATTTACTATAAACTTCGTATAAAAATATCGTACCATTGGTATAATAAAAGCCACATGTGATTATATCACGAGAAAATCATAAAATATCACGAAGTACATGAAACAAATTACGTTATATTAAAAATTATATAACTAAAATAATCCTATTTAAGCATAAAAAAGTTATCGACAATTATTTTGTAGTATCTTAAATTTTGCAGATGTGGCCTTATTACACCAAGGGTTCGATATGTCACAAATAAAAACGTAAAGTTATTCGTTATAAATCCGTTTTTACATTCCATGACTCGTGTTGCGATGAATCCGTGAAAAATGTAACACCTATTATTTATAAAGTGGCGAAGACTGAGTTGGGGAAGAGCCATTAATAACATGAAAAGTTGTCCATTATGTAGATGCTACTCGCAATAAATAATTTATGGGTCAGCTCAACTTGTAGGGCGTGACTCAGCGGCGGACACAAAGAATGAAAAATGATACCACGCTTGCTTTGTAAACACGAAATGTTGGGGTCATGGTTCTGTTTCTGTTTTATACTGCGGATATTTGGGATGCCTACAAAATTGGGTTATTATGAGACACATAGAAACTTAATACACCTTCATTGTAGAATAAATTCTTTAAAATTCTGTTATCCTTTAATATTAAGTATTTGTAACATCAACCTTATTGATGTAAGATTTGAAAATAATTGAAAGTATCTTTTGAATTAATTTAAATTAGGGTTTCGTAGCAGAAAAGCTCCCTGTGAAAGAGGAAGAATTGCCATCTTACCTATTTCTGCTGCCAAGTACTAATGTAAGCATTACTGCGTTTCGGTTTTGAAGGGTCCTGGTTAAATTACTAGCATATGGGACTTGTCAACTTATGTTTCAGGGTGATGGGTGCAACGCCAGTGCCCCTTAGATCTTAGCGATTTCAAGCTCTGAGCGACAGTGCAATTGTTATGAACGAGCGTGTCGCTTAACGGTAAGAAAACGGTTGCGTTTTGGACATAAATTTGGGTACTCTGAGTGTAGGTATAGATAGAGATAGAGTAGAGATATGTTATTAACTATTCAGATTTTTTTAGATGCTGCCTATGTGCTAACTTAAGAATCTATCTGTGTATTATGGTCTTCCCTCCTGCAGGTATTTGGAGTACATAGAAAGAGCCTCCTCGTAGCTAAGCACGGTAACCTAGTGCCTACATTGGTTAATAGTGTTAACATGATGCTTCAGTCGTATGATTCGTCGTTTGACTTTGACTGTTACAATTTAGTTCAAAGGTGCAGTAAAACTATTATACAATTGAGTAGAATGATATATAAACAGATTATGTGTAATCCACCTGAATAGGTTACAGATTCTCACAGACGACCTTTTTATTAATATTATGTTAACGCTGTTTATATGTGATGATGATTCATAAGTGCAAACGAATCGATTTGCATGTGAGCGCAAAAAATACAAACTTAAGCACTCATATTACAAAACAATAGGCAGATGAGCGCGCCGAACACGAAAGTGAAGCTACCAAAATAAAGGCAAATTCAAAAGCAAATACAACAATTCGTGACTGTTTGTATATCACGAGTGATTAGTTATTTTATGTTTAAAAATGCCATCTTGTGTCCTTAAACATTGTAAAAGTAGTTCCCAGAAATAAAAAAATAAGATGGAAGATCTTTTCACAGCGAACTATTGATTATTTAATTGTTTTGTTATTTATTTCTCCAAATTTTTTGAGATTTAGTCGGAAGCTTCTTCTGAGCTTGAACCGGGAGAGCAGGAGATCCGTAGAAGAACGAAAGTCACTAACATAGCTCGAAGGATTAGCAAGTTGAAGTAGCAGGGGGTAGGGCACATAGCTTGTAGAATTGAGACGGCTTGGGGCAGAAAGGTTCTCGAATGGAGACCACGAACCCGAAGGTGTTCAGTGGTACGGTTCGCTACTAGATGGACGGATGACCTGGTAAGGACGGCGTGTAACCGATGGACGCACGTCGCATGCGACCGCCTGGTCTGGAAATCTTTGGGGGAAGCCTATGGTCAGCAGTAGACGTCTTCCGGCTGATATGATGATGATGATGATTATTATTATTATTATTTTAAAACACGCGTGGTATGTCAAATTATTCACCTTTTTTACTTTCAACTTATGCAACGTATCTCGTGACAAGCGAGGTTTAAGCTCAAATTACAAACGAATTTATGTCCAGGTTTTGAGTTCCGACTGAATCTCAAAAAATTTAGGGAAAGTAAATTAAAATCAACAACAAAAAACAAACAAATCAGTTAAATAATCAATAGTTCGCTGTAAAAAGATATTCCACCTCATTTTTTTTTGTTTTTAGGAACACCTTTTACAATGTTTAAGACGGCATTTTTAAACATAAAATAACTAATCACTCGTGACGTACAAATAGTGCGATGCTGTGCTTAATACTGACGCGAGATTGTTTTCACTTTTGAATTTGCGGTGCATTTACCGCAATTTTATTTATGGGTTGCATTATTTTAAAATCTATGAAACTAGTTTGTTGTTATTGTTGATTAAAGATTGAACAAACACAAAGAAAAATTCCGTAGATACGACTGGATTTCATTGTGTTTTTCCATCTTTATATCTAAAACAAGTATTGACGTCGTTACTCATTCTAGCTAACCTATTTACAAACTGTAAAGTAACAGTTTGAATAACAGAACAACAAAAATTGAACAACAGCGCTTTAATTCTAAGAACACGTGTTCATCTATTGTGTGCCCAGTGGTTGACATGCCCGTGGTCGTGGACAAAAACTGACAGTTCGCGGTAAATGCCTGGCAAATTGGGCACGCACTCCCGTTTATTGTGCTGGCGTTGTGACAACCACACAGGTCTAGTAAAATTTATAAATAGTAGACAATAAAGTAATACTAGCTGTAAAAGCTATTTTAGTGCCACCTCGTCAACCTTGCAATGCAATGCTGAACTTGAATGAAATAACAATGTGGCCTGCGTTAGCAAATTATATCTAAACGCAATATATACTTACAACCATTGTGAAAGTTCATATTTTTCATATAATTTTATATTTTTACCATTTGTGTACCATACATGAAATTTCATGTGATAACAGCATGACAGTCATCCTGTATTGTGATTTTACTATGTCCGTCGCTGTCGTCGTTGACAGACGGGTGACCACTGTGCGTTGATTAATGTACTCGTCGCCGGTAGCATTCAGAGTGGCACTTTTTAAATGTTCGCTTCAATGAATGACCGGAATTTATAAACGACTTTTGTTTTATAGTGTTAAGCCGGTGGAATTTTGTAGGTAGTAAACTGAGGCCCAAAAATATTAACTTTTTATTGCCATTTTTTGTTATTTGTAAAAATGTTAAAATTATGCGAAAGAAACTGGTTATAGTAAAAAATATTCAAACAACACACTCTTTGCTTTAATTATTCACAATAAAAAAAAAATCTCTGTTACACGTAAATATTCCTTAAAAGCTCTACACAAATTCACATCTAAGTATTTGCACCTGCCATAAAAAGTTTTAAAATGTATACAGAATTTACGGCAAGCCATTGCTGGCCCTTGCGACCCATTTCTGCCAAATTCACTCTGGACATAACCGTTTCCCTTCATATAAAAATTTAGCACCACACAGTGGGCTATATTTCTGAATTATTGGGTTATGCTCTTTCGTACTTTCGCGTTTTATTTGACGCTCGATCGTTTGTAATAAAGATTTACCGTATGGCTGTAAATGATGGATAAATTTGAATATACGCTGATACGTTTATTCTCTTTGATGTTTTATTTAATGTGTTCCATTTTTAGCTACTCAACTCAGTTTTGTTTATGTGAATCATTTGTATGTCTCATTTAGGTTGAAAAAACAATGTCGTTTTTCAAGATGTTTCATGTCCAGATTTATGCACTTGAAATTCTTATGCGCTTGGCGTTTAACAGCTGTTTTGTGTCTGAATCCATTTTGCTCTTATTTTAACTGTTAAATAATGTCATTTCAATTGTATTTTCTGCAATATATTTTCGATGTTGTGATACTGTGTGGCATTCCTTTCGATCAGATGTACTTTTTCATCTGAGCCACAAAACGCAACAAATTCTTAAATACATAATTAAACCTCATCTGCGTAATTGAAACTTATTTCATCCACATTTTCACTCATAACACTTTAAAGCCTTAACTCCATAACTCAAAAGGAACACCATAATCGGTGAGTGATTAAATCGACCGGAGTTATTACCGTCGTAACATAAAACAGCCCTAAACAATTACTGCAGCCAACTTGGGTATAACGCGGTATAACATAAAGCGGTAAGTGGTATATTAATACGCGGCAAGGGTCGGGTTAATACCTAGAGATGGGAAAGTTATGTAAGAATTTTGGAACGCGAAATTGATCTAATTCCTGTCTGCATAATGTCCTCAATGTACACAACATTATTTGTTGATGAGAAACTTCGCTAAGATAACTAAAAAAAACCTTAAGGTTAAGATTTAATTTCAGTTAGAGCTCCTTATGAAAGAGTCCAGGGAAGTAGGTACTGCCACCTTATTAAGTTCTGCCGCCAAGCATGTGGGCATTGCCGCGTTTCGGTTTTGAATTGTAAAGGTGCTGGTGATTTTTTTTCTATTCTATCAAGTGACGAACAAGTCGTGCGCCTGATGGTAAGCTGCAGGCCTG